GAGGGAGGGAGGGAGAGAGAGAGAGGAAGAAAGGAAGGGAAAGAAAGAAAGAAAGAAAAACACATTTGATTAGTAGTGAGGGACCCAGTAGGCAGGTAAGGGCTGTAACTACCATCATTATATACCAATTATATACCTGCTATTACAGAACACTGTGCTAGCTGCTGAGGTTACAAAGTAGAAGGCATGTTTCTTGCCCTTGAGAGGCTTCCAGTCTAGGGAATGGAATTGGGTAGAAGAATAAGAAGTTTGGAGCGCTTGCTCTCTGCTCAGCACTGGGACAAATGTTTTAAGATATATCTCAAGAAGTAAATATTATTATTCTCCAAGGTAATGAAAGTGCAGAGAGGTTAAGAAACTTCCTTCAGGTCTCCCAGCACACAAGTAGAACTGGGAGGAGTGCCCAGATCTGTTTGGCTCTAATGGCCTAGTGCTGCTCACAGGATGATGAGCAAGGGCACCAGGGACAGCATATCAGGAAGAGAATTATCTTTACAAGGTGTGCTAGGTGCGGCTCCACACGAATAATAGAGTGATTGTCACAGGGGTCTGGAAGAAAAGAGATGTATTGAGGCCTCAGATAGAAGCGGGAAACTTGCAAAGGAAGTAGGCCCTCAAGTAGATGCTGATGGCAGAATAGGAATCCAAGAAGGAAAATGGAGAGAGGGGCTTTCCAGGTGGAAGGAGGCATGTTGTGTGCAGTGTGGAGTACTGGAGAGAGTACAGCCTGCTCCAAATTTACTAACTGTGCAGTCATTTAAGCTCCTAAGACTCAGTTTTCCTATCTGTACAATAGTTGTGATAATACCCACTTCTGGGGGTTATTGAAGACCTGAGACAATGTATTTAAAGCACCCGTTTCTTCAAAATCACCAATCTAAATGAAGCTTCCATCTAAATTATGTTCCTGTTCTCACAGTATCCTATTTCCCTTCCTGCTTTCAATGGAATCAGTTATATATCTGTGTGCTTATTCATTGAATGTCTATTTCATGACTAAATTTCATGAAGACAAGAACAATATCTGTTCTTCTCAGCACCATCTCTTTAGTGTCTTGAACAGCAGGCACTCAGTAAGTCTTTGTTAAATGAATGAATACATAAATGTACAAATGAATAAATATATGGATAAATGAATAACTATACCTGTTTCTGTGCCAGGACTCCAAGAATCTCAGGGAAAATATGTCATTTCTTGGGGAGGGGGAGGGCTTGCTAAGGCAGGAAAACCCTTCAGAGAATGTAGTTAGAGGGTCACAGGGCCTTCGCAGGTCATCAGGGAGAGCATCAGGTCCCCTGTCTGCCTCTGTTGCTGCACGTAACTGTCTCTAAGGAAATGACACAAACTTCCAGTTCAGCTGGTTCCAGGGTTTCACAACCCGACTCTTTCTGTCTTGCTTAAATCTGATGCGCTGCTTCACCAGTGTGACTTGTGATGTGCCTGGTGGGCAATGACTCTGCATGATCCCCAGGTTGCCCCGTAATAACCCTGAGTGAAGGTCTAGCTTTTCCAATAACCAAGTCTTCTAATCCACTGCAACACAATAACCTTTCTGTAGAGTGGTGAGGAAAAAAGGGGGAAAACAGATACATTCATAATTACTAGGTATTTGGTGGGTTCTGCGAGTTCCAGGATAGAGGTAAGCACAGAGAACAGTGGAGGCTATATAGTCCTGCCTGAAGTAAAGCAGCATAAACACAGATAACATTTATAGCTTTCAAAATATGATTATATATATCATTTCATCGTAGTCTCCCTGCAGCCATGGAAAATGGGGAAGTATGGATAACATTTGCATTGTTATTTGTTCCTAACATATAAGGAAAGAGAGGCAATTGGGGGTGGTCCAGGGTATAGATCTAGCTTCAGCTGCAGATAGGAACTCACTGTCCAGATCTCATGTCTATCAGTTTAGAGATCTTTCTCCTGGACTGCACTGTCATGCACTGGCCTTTATATTGGTCAACAGTGTGAGCATGCCTGCAATGTCACAATCCCCCTGCCTTCTATAGTGTATTTCCAATGTACTTTTGTGATGAAACATCAGAATTGAATAAATCAAGTGTGGGCAAGCTAAGGCCCATGGGCCACATTGGTCCATTGCATCATTTTATAAATAAAGTTTATTGAAACATAGTTATACTCACTTATTTACTCTGATCTGTGGCTGCTTTTGCACTACAAAAGCTGATTTGAATAGTTGCAACAGAAACTGTACGACCCACAAAGTCTAAAATATTTACTATTTGGTCCTTTACAGAAAAAGTTTGCCACCTCTAGAATAAATGACTGAAATGGAAGTTAATGGAAAAAAATAGATTGTTTCATTCATAATAGATAGTGGGATTTAATTGGAAAAGAGAATGAGAATTGGCCTCACAAACTCACCTCTGTCACTTGGCTGGATGATCTTGATCAAGTTATTTATACTCTCTGGGGCTGTTTCTGCATCTATCACCTTATAGAGTTGCTGTAGGATTTCCATGAGGTAAGGTATATGTATCAGTTATGATTAGGTTTGGCCCCATGTAACAAAAAACACAAAATAAAAGCATTTTGCACAAGACAGTAGATCATTTCTCTCATATGAAAGTAGGCAGTGGGTGTTGGCCTGATTTTGCACGGTGTTAGGAACCCAAACCCTTTCACCTTGTTGCTTTGCTGTATGTGGCTTTCATTCTTGAGGTCTTCTCGTGATCCAAGATGGCTGCTGGTGCTCCAGCCACTGTGCAAATGTTGTTATTACTACTAATGATAGAATGATAATAAGAGGTAACAAACCAAAAATCAAATGCAAAAAGCCTAGAAACAGGGACATCCAAAAAGACCAGGCAGGAACTTGACATTAATTCAAGACTAGCCAAGATGAGCCTTCCTGCCATAGTTCATGAGACAACCAGCATATTTCATTTATTCTATTCCTGAGCTATACTGAGGAAGATCTGGAAACCATGTCTTACCTGTATTCAATGCCTAACACTTTACAAAGCATTTCCATATTTGTTACTTCATTTGTTTTTCACAATACTCTAGAAAGGTAAGATAAAGAAATCCTAATAGTGTTAGTCCTATTGCATACTACAATTCACACAGGTGCTAAGTAACCAGATCCCAGTACCTCCTATCTTCTCAAAGAGTTCATGGTTAGATATTCGGATATTTGTTGGAAATATTGTATAGAAGAAAGAAAATGACCCTAACCAGAACCCCTAGCAGATGTAGCTAATCATGTGGCCTCAGCCTCACTGAGGAAGTACCCTCACCTGTAAGACAAAGAAAAGAGCATCTATTGACTTTTGGGGTTGTTACGAGGATAGCAGGCAGTGACTATAATGCACACAGCCGGTTCAATAAAATCACTGTTATTACCTAGGCTCACTTCTCATAGCTGATGTGTCCTTGGACAGTTATTTCCCTTCACTGGGACCCTCTTTCCTTTTCTCAGAAAACAAAGGGCTTGTGCTCGGATTTGCTAAGCTATCTTCCAAATCTTGAGTCCCATCAGCCGGGGAACTTGACTTTTTAATGGAAACAGTCAGATAGGAGCTCAGGTTGGATTCTACTTCTGGTTAACAGCTAGCTCTGTGTCTCAGGATAAGCTAAACATGTTTCTGACTCTCCGCATCTGTAAAAAAGGGTCAAATGGTGTCTAGCTTATTGGAAAGGCAAGGATTGTGGAGATTAAATGAGGTAAGTGTATCCAGGACCCACAGACTGTAACTTCTTCAAAAGCAGCGACTCATCTGTTTAGTAGATTTAAAGACTGTGACACCACTTCAGAGGGTTGGTTGTAAAATTAGAAGAGTGAATTCATGTAAAGTATCAGAAACAAGACCTGGCACAAACTAAGCATTCAATACATAATTTTATTATTATTATTATTTTACACCATCTACAAGAGTCACGGTGTTCAGTAAATAGTCGAGAAGCGGTTTAGGATACACCTTGGACATATAAACCCACGAGGGGCTGCAGAGTTTGCGTGGGTAAGCTCTGTGAAACGAGCCCCCAGAGTGGGAAGCTCTCAGCTGGAACCGACAAAACCCCTTCGCTGTCTTTAAAAGGTACAGTGGGTCGGGAGGGGCCGAGGTGAAGCTGCGCTCCGCTCCACCTACCAGCTGTGCTGGCGCGAGCCAATCCCAGGTCAGGTTCAAAGGGCCAATCGAGGAGCGTTTTACAGGGGCGGCAGAGGACGGGGGTGGGGCTAGGTGCGGGGCGGGGCCTTACCCCACCCCCGCGGGGACCGCCCAGCCCCGGCGCGCTGCGGCTGAGCGTGGCAACCTGCAGAGCCCCGCTAGCTAAAATGTAATTTCAGATTGGACAAGTAAGTGACCCTCCTCTCAGTCCCACGTGTGCACCCGGGGCTTTTGCGGACGCGCAGGCTCTCTCAGCGCGCACGATCTCCAACCTGAGAGCGCCCTTGGCCGAAGCCTCCCTCCCTTTTCCTGCGGTCACTGCCTCCTCTTCCTCTTCCCCCAGTGGCCGCTTAAGTTTCATTCCAGCTGGTCCTTGGTCTGTTGATTCCCCTGTGTCCTCTCCTGGGTGAGGCGTCCGGCCACTCTACAGAAGGGTCAGCCTTGACTGCACCCCAAGGCTGCCTGTGAGATGTCTGGAACCCGAGGTCCTCTGCGGTTACTGTCCAGTTAACTAGATTCACTTCTTCTCTCTCCTCCCTTCACCCCTTCCCTGCCGCTTTTTAGGACATTTTCCTAGGCGTTTTTGAGCCTTGAAATTCAAATCTGGCTACTTAAGGCATTTTAAGGCCAGTGCTGCTTGTACCTTTAAACGCTTTTAGCAGTTTGTGATAAAGTTTGAGGTGCAGTTTAGATGGTATAAAGCTGTTTGGTGACTGTTATCCTGGGTAGGAAAGGCCTGGGGGGATCTTTTCATTTTTATTCATTTCCCTTCTTTTAAAGGATCGGCAAAATGCAAAATGGTGAATTTCCCTAATTGGCTGTTTTCCTCTTAAAGCAATTCTCTTGTCTTAACTAATTTCGTCCCTAAATTAAAGGGTCAGTCATTACCAAGAAATGGAAGAGCCCTCATTATTCATCATTATACGGTTAATTTTTAAAATAGGCGTTCAGGAGGGAAGAAATGATTATGCTTTTGAATTGCAAATCAGTGAGAAAGAAGGCTAGTCTGCTCTTAGTTATTTAAACGGTAGAGCGTTGCTTTGTTTTGTTTGCTTTTTCCTACTTTCCCATCAGCCACCACATGTATATCCTGATTTCTTGTTGTTTGAAGTTGCCAGGTGGGTCTTGCTGCCTACTTTCTGACTACCTCCTGGCCTTCTGGGAGTCTCTTGTTAATGAGGCCCTCTGCTTGCCTCTTGACCTGATGGCCACCGGCCTGGCTCTTGGAGGGACCAGCTGAGGTGGACCTCCTAGTGAGGGGCCCAGAGGACTGTTATTAAGGATGATTGGGGGAGGGGGGGCAGACCAGAGAAGTGAAAAGGGCCTGGAGATTGATTTGGGGGTGGGGGGGGAAAGGATAGGAGCCTCCCTGGCTGTATTTGGATGTCAAAACATGTATTGGGAGAAGGAAATAACCCAGAGGGTGGAGAGCTGTGCTTTTCTGGATGAAATTAAGTTTACTGGGGGCAGACTGGGCCTTCTTCCAGGCTATGTTAATCTTTGCTGTGGGCCTTGTCTTTTCTTGGAATCTGGTTCCCTTTTCCTAACCTTTCACTTAGTTCAAATCACAGTCAATTACCAGCTGGTTTTGAAAACAATTTGAGGTAATGAATTTTGTCCTTAAACTCCCAGCCAGAGTGGGACTCCTCCCCACTTCCCAGGGGATTTGAAATCATTGTTTTACCAGAATCTACTCTGGAGCTCATTTAACCTCTCACCTGCCTATCTTTTTGTAAGGTGGCACATAGAATCCACCCAGGTGGTATAAGATGATGTCATCCAAACCAGTGCTTCCTCTCTTCATTCATTTATTCACTAATCTAGTGGTGTGTCTTCTAGGGCTGGCACTGTGGTAGGCTCTGGGAAAGTCAGGAGAACAGGACTGGGCTCCTGCTTTCAAACTTGCATCCATCCTGCTTGTATTTAGTCTGATGTGGGAGGTTATATGATAGTGAGATTAGTGCTGTGGCAAGCTATGCAGAAGATGAGAGAAGGGCAAATGGCCTAATACGGGGTTTCCGAGGAAAACTCAGATAATACCCGAGCTGAGTTACGGAGCCTCGGTATGAGTGGGCTGGAGAAAGACAAAAGGGAAGGGGGTCATCTGCTTTGGGCACAGCATAAGCAAAACTATATAAACCTGGCACATTGTTGATTAGTGTGGCTCAACAGGAAAGGGGAGGTGGCAAATCACCCGAAAGGAGGCTGGGGAGGGTGCAAGGGGCAGATCACGGAGGGTCATGTGAGTCCCATTACGGGAGATTGAAATGTATCTCCTGAGCAGCCAGGAGCTGTTGAAGTGATACTGTCAGATTTGTGTTTTACAAAGTTAATTCTGGCTGCAGTGTAAAGAGTGGCAAGAGGCTATTGTTATTGTAACTCATGTAAGAGATGGGTTAGGGTCATAGTCCTGGGACTGGAGAGAGGTTAGGACACTAGAATGGTTAGGAATTAATTACTGATAGAATGTAGGGGATGAAGAAAGAATGTAGCAGGTAAGGTACCGTGGGGAAAAGAAGGCATTCCGAGCTGGGGTATTTTTGAACAGCTTTATTGAGGCCTACTTGATGTACAATAAACTGTACATGTTGAAAGTGTCTACTTGGAGAAGTTTTGATATAAGTATATACATATCCATGAAATGATTATCACAATCAAAATAAAGAACATTTCTAATACCGCCCCCCCACCCAATTTCTTGTGCTCCTTGGTAATCCCTCTCTCCCTAGTACCACCCCTCCCCCAGAGCAACCCGTATTTACTTTTTGCCACTAGAGATTAAGATTTTTTAGGATTTTATCTGTGGGGGGGTTCATACAATTTGATGTCAGACAATTAAGTTCGCAAACTCATCCTAGAAAAAGTGCTACATACCTCATTGCTGAATATCACTACGGTCACCTTTGAAGTACTCCCCTTGGGAAGCTATGCACCGATGCCAGCACCTAGTCCACCCTTCAAAGCAATTTTGGAACCCTTTTTCTGGCATGGCCATCAGAGCTGTCGTCATGTTACTCGTGTTATCCTTTAAATATTTCTTTCATCTTCTGATAAAGAAAGAAGCCATTGGGGGCCAGATCAGGTGAGGAGGGAGGGTGTTCCAATACAGTTATTTGTTTATTGGCTAAAAACTCCCTCACAGACAGTGCCGTGTGATCTGGTGCATTGTCTTGATGCAAGAGCCATGAGTTGTTGGTGAAAAGTTCAGGTCGTATAACTTTCACGCAGCCTTTTTAGCACTTCCAAATAGTAAACTTGGTTAATGGTCCAGTTAACGAAATTCATAATGAAAAATCCCTCTAATAGCAACATCGTTGCAGCAAGTTCCCGAATTTAATTGTCCTAACTTATATGTTATCTTTTCTTGTGTGGTGGCTTTTACTTAATCATTTTGAGACTCACCCATGTTGTGTGTGCATACATGGTTCAATCCTTTTATTTGCTGAGTATTATTTTATTATATGATTATCCCATACTTTGTTTATCCATTTACCTGTTGATATTTGGATTTTGGCTACTACAAATAAAGCTGCTAGACATATGCTTTCATTTCTCTTGGCTAAGTACCTAGAAGTGCATTAGCTAGTTCACATGGTAGGTGTGTGTGTAACTTTTTAAGAAGCAGCCACCTGTATTTCAAAGTGGTTGGCGTTTTACACTCCCCTCGGCAGTGTGTGAAACTCCCAGTTGCTGCAACACTTGGTGTGGTTACTTTTTAATTTTAGCCATTTTAATAATGTGGAGTCCTCTCTCGTGGTTTTAATATGTATTTCCCTAAATAACTAATAATTTCAAGCTTCTTGTGTGCTTGTATGCTCATATATAACATATTTCATATATCTTCTTGGGTAAAGTGTTTATTAAATCTTTTGTCCATTTTTTTTAAGAAATGGGTTGTTTGTTTTCTTATTGAGTTTTGAAAGGTTTTTATATTTACTGAGGGTGCCAAAAAATATACACAAGTGAACACTTTGGTCAACATTGCTCAGGCAGTAGTTTGCCATAATCAGAAGTGTCTGGACGCTGATGGCAATCACTTGGAGCATCTCTGTAATTGCAGAACTCAAACGTGACTCGTATTCATCTTTTGTTATTGGTATATGTTGAGTATTACAATTTTAGTATAGTTTCCTTTCTTAAAATGTGTATACATTTTTTGGCACCCTCTGTATATCCTCATTACAAGTTGTTTACCACATCTGAGTCTTTTCATTTTCTTAACAGTGTCTTTTGAAAAGCAGAATTCTTAATTTTGATGAAGTCTAAGTTATCAATTTGTAATTTTGATGTCTACTTTATCAGTTTATTCATTTATGGATGATGGTTTTGGTGTTGTATCCATGAAATCATGCCTAGCCTGAGGTCTCAAATATTTTCTCCTATTTTTAAAAGAAGTTTTATTGTTTTTTGGTTTTATATTAAATCCATGATCCATTTTAAGTTAACCTATAGCTAATCTAAGTTAATCTAGTACCAGATGTGAAACAAAGTTCTTTTTTTTTTTTTTGTATGGTGCTAATTGTTCCGGCACTACTTGCTGAAAAGCCTATTCTTTTCTCCATTGAATTGCCTTTGTACCTTTGATCAAAATCAATTTCCATTGTATATATGTGGACCTATTTCTGGATGTTTTATTTTGTCCCATAGAGCTTTTTGTCTATTTTAATGCCAATACCACATAGTCTTGATAATTTGTAATAAAAGTATTAAAGTAACGTAATATAAGTCCTTCAGCTTTGTTCTTTTTAAAAGTTGTTTTGGTTATTCTGGTGTGCTACATTTCCACATTAATTTTACAGTGATTTTGTCAATTTCAAAATAAAGTCCTGCTTAGATTTTAATTGGAACGTCATCAAATCTATACATTAATTTGGGGGAGAATTAACATCTAAAATATTGAGTTCTCTGACTCATGGACACAGTATATCTTTTGATTTTTTTTTTAGGTCTTCCTTAACTTCTCTCAGCAATGTTTTGTACCATTTAATAGATAGGTCTTATGCATCTTTGTCCGAGTATTTGTAGCTATTTCGTATTTTTATGTTATTGTAAATGATACTGTTTTTAAAAAATTCAGCTTCCAATTGTTGATACTTGTATGTTGATCACGTGTCCTGCAATCTTGTCAAACTACTTACTAGTTCTAATAGCTTCTTTGTAGATGCCATCAGATTTTTCTATGTAGGTGATCATGTTATCTGTACATAAAGACAGTTCTACTTCTTCCTTTCAGCGGGGATGCCTTTTATTTCTTTTTCTTGCACTGGCAAGAACCTCCACTCAGTGTTGCATGGAAGTGATGAAAGCAGACCTCTTGCTTTGTTCCTGATCTTAGGAATGAGCATTCGTTTTTTTCATCATTTACTACGAAATTTGATGTTAGTTGTGTTTTTTGTAGAAACTCTTTAACAGGTTTAGGTAGTTCAATTCTATTCCTGCATTCCTGAAAAGTGTGTGTGTGTGTGTGTGTGTGTGTGTGTGTGTG